AGATATTCAGAAACAATTTACCGACAGTTTTGTTGAAATTCGAAAATGACAGATTTCATCCTGACAATATGTATTGATCCTCTTATTGCAGTGAACCTACCCTCTTAAAACGAACGAATTTGAATCCCAATTCTTTTTCGCCAAAATATCACAAATTGTTCGTGTTTCAATTTATTCAGTACAGATTCTTGTACAGTGTTTTCCGCCATTTTTCTGGAACATAAGGCAATAATAGTCACAAATGCATCAATCTTGAGATTACATCGGAGATTTGTAGACGACCCAAAAAGCGGNNTACCCCCCATAATTGGTTGAAAAATTAGGTTGTGCGTTTCAGATCAACAAAAAGGCTCAAAAAAGCAAGCCAATGATCCCAACCATTGACGCTGAAAGCACTGATGAGATCAAAAGAAACGTCATCGCAACTCATGGAGCAAAAACACAACCTGTTGTTCCTAAATTAGACAAGCTGGTTGAAGTTCTTCAGAAGAGTAAGCTGTCAAAGGAAGAAATTGATGAAATTGTTGCACAAGTGAGTGTTGTTTCTAATTACATCCTAGGGTTCTCTATTTTTCATCACTCGAGCACCTCTTTTTCTGTTTTGTAGGTGGAAGGGAATAAACACATTGAGAAACCTGCCAAGTATGACTTCAACGCGGCAGTACAAAACATTCCTGACAAGAAAAACACGATTCGTCAAAAAATCACAGACGCTTCTCGTATTATCAATTCAAACCTTGAAAATCAGCGTAAAGAGCAGAGTATCGTAATTCAAAAACAAGTTGATGAATTCAAAGTGTTTCGCGACTTGACACATTCCAATATTGTGAGTGAATCTAGTTTGTATAAGCATGAATCGGCAATTTTGAAACAAATTTGCATGAATATTTTCATTGCAAATTTCGAAAACTACCAGTTTTTGCATGGTTCTTATTAAGGCAAGTCACCTCACAACAAAGAAACCTACTACAACAACAAAAGCAACTACTACTACTTCACCAAAATTTGTTCCTACTGTTCTTCCTGCATCCTCCCAAGCAACCACGACTTCTCCAAAATCAATCCCTACCACCACATTAACCCAGAAACATGTTCAGCAAACTCGCTCTGTTCAACAAGTTGCTCCACCTCCAGCTCCTCAAGTTGTTCCACAGGTGGCGCCACAACCTCAAGTGGCTGCACCATTTTTGCAACCACAGCCACAACAACCATACAACAACTTTTTGCTTCCTCCAAACCATTTCCAGCATTCTTTCCACCAGCAGCAGCAAAATTTGTATTACACACAGGTAACCAGAAAAGCTATCCACGAAAATTAAAACGTTATGTTAGGCACCACTCTACGGACAGCAGACTCAAAACTACTGGGGTCAACAACAAAATCAATACAACCAGCAGTACGGTCTGCACCCAAATCAACAACAACAGCAAAAACAAAACTTCCAACAACCACAACAACAACAATACGGATACTCGATGCCATATCCATCGCAGCAACCACAACCACTGACACGTGTTCAACCACAACAGCAACAGCAGCAACAATATTATTCGGTGAGCTTTCAATAAAGTATCTAATATCTAAATTATCCCGGTTCCCCTCCCTACTCAGATCGGCCTCGTGAGGGGCATTTTTTCTGAGTCTTTCATGTCCTCAGGACAACTACGGCCGGGCCGGGCCGAGAGAAAATTTTCAGGGCCCGGCCCGGCCCGGCGGCCCGGCAGAAAAAAAACAAAATTTTTGTATAATGAATTTAAACAGCCGCGAATGAATTTATTGGTTTTTAGAATGTATTGAAAAATAACTCGAAGAAAAAAAACACTGAATACCTTTTTTCGAAACAATGATTCAACTTTTCGCTCAAGATTTTGAAGTTCGCGGTAAACTTCCGGGCCGGTGAAATTCGTGTTTCGGCCCGGCCCGGCCCGGCCCTTCACAAGTATGATGTCCTGCCCTCTAATGTTTTATTACACCTGATCAATAAACAAATTAAATTAAATTAAGTAGCATCTTGTTTGCGGCGGTGCTACAAATTTCTGCCTGGTGTGATTTCTAAATTTCTGAAAAAGGATTAAAGGAGGGTAGACATCAAAAATTTCAAAATTTTCATTTTTACTGAAAAGATATAACTCTGAAGTATAAATATAGCTATGTACTTAAAAACCTGAAAAAAACCCTTCAAGGACGAAAAAATGCTCTTTTTTGTCATCCTAATTTCTTCACTAGCTTGCTGCTGCGGCGTCGCTTCATAATGTGAAAAACGCGATGGTCGCCTCTTACACGCGTAGTGTAGTGGGTACGCTCTAGGCTAGTATTCAGGAGGTCAGAGGTTCAATCCCTGCTGGTGTTTTTACTTTTTTCTTCCCTTGTTTCCTTCGGATTGAACTTTTTGAACTCGGAATTTCTGAAGGGCTACCAGCGTGCCGCCAAGGCCTCGCTCCGAGGTACCAAAATCAGTTAAAAATGAAGAAACTTGTTTTATTATGTTAACAAATAAATTATGAAAAAAACTACAATTAATTTTTAGAAAGAGACATAACAATTGAAAAAAAACCACATAATTAAACAATCCTCGTGCAGGGCTGGTCGTCGGAAGGTGAAGGAAGCAGTAAAAATGGAGACGTCTCTGAAAACTCTAGTCATAAAACAGTTTTTATTCCTAGAGTAATAACGAGAAGTAATGAGATAAATAGGAACAGTGAAGAAACGGTTATCGAAGAAAAAATAGTTTTTTTCGCATGCCTATAAAAAACACCGGCGACTGGCAAAATAATCGGTCGATAGAACTTTAAATTTACATAAAAAATTCACTTTTATATGGGTTTTATAATAAATAAGAAAAAAGAGCTTTTTTAATGTTTGAAGTCGTTAAAAATTGAAAAAAATAAAGTCGGGAAATAAAAAAATAAAAATGTTTGCGCGTGGGATTGCGTGCTTCAGGTGCGAACACCGCGACAGCAAAATACACATTCCCTGAAATTTTCCCCGAAATTTTTGCTGTCTGCCCTCCTTTAAGACGCGTTCTCTGCAGAACTCAACTTCAGGCCTATTATCCACTGTACTGAAAAATTCAAACTTGTTTTTTCTAGCTGATTTTTCATATATTGCATGTTTATGGGTTTCTAAGGTCTATGAAATACAGTTTGTCCCGACTAGTCCCACCCCTGCAAAAATATGGTGGTGGGGTGTATAAAAAGTTTTTTTCAAAAGTAAAATAATGATCAGATATTGATGTAGAACGTTTTTGGGCACTATTTTGAACATTTTTCGTATTGGCACTATACTAATATTCTTTCGTCTTCCTGGAAAAAAATCCAGTTTTTTTGCAAAAAAGCTATTTTTGGGATCAACAAATTCCCGTCCTGGAAAAAATTTCCATTATTCTATAAAAGTAAACTGCAAATTTGAATTTTACGTCAAAAAATACATTAGAAAATGTTTGCTATTGTTTAAATATTCTGGGTCCACTGCAAGTTTTAGGCCAAAATGTGCCAAAAAATGAGGTTTCCCCATGTCGGGGAGTACATGGCAACTAAATGTCGCCCAAAAAAATTGCTTCCAAGTTCATTTTCAGTGAAAAAATACGAGCTCTAGAAAAGCATGAATGAGATCGTGTTCTAAAACTTCGCCAAAATATTACCCATAAAAAATATTGTATGTCATATGAATTTGAGCGAAATTGGAGAGGGTCGATTTTGAGCAAAATTTAGTTGCCATGTACTCCCCCACATGATGAAACCTCATTTTTTGGCACATTTTGGCCTAAAACTTGCAGTGGACCCAGCATATTTAAACAAAAGCAAACATTTCCTAATGTATTTCTTGACGTAAAATCTACATTTGATGTTTAATGTTATAAAATAATGGAAATTTTTCCCAGGTCGTTAATTTTTTGGTCCCAAAAATAGCTTATTTGCAAAAAAACTGGATTTTTTTCCAGGAAGACGGAAGAATATTAGTATAGTGCCAATACGAAAAATGTTCGAAATAATGCCCAAAAACGTTCTACATCAAGATCTGATCATTATTTCACTTTTGAAAAAAAAAATTTCAGACACCTCACGATCATATTTTTGCAGGGGTGTGACAAGTCGGGACAAACTATATTTCATATACCTTAGAAGTCCATAAACACGCAGTATATGAAAAATCAGCTAGAAAAAACAAGTTTCAATTTTTCTGTGCAACGCTATTTTCCGTTCTGTCAGAGAATGTGTCTTAACTGTTTTCGAATATATGTAAGTTAGATAAAATTATGTCTGACGGGTTTTTTCTGCATAGATTTAAATTAAGTCGTATTCAGGTGTCAGTAGGGTTATTGTATTACAATTTTTGAGCATAACTTGTTTTTTTAAATTAATCATCAAAGCTAACATTTTCAGCCACAACACAATAAGCAACAGCAAGTACAGCAACAAGTACAACGACCACAACAAATTCAACACCAACAACCCCAGCAACAACAGCACCACCAACAGTATATTCAACAATTCATCACTCAACAACCGACAAAACAACCCCCAGCTCCTGTACAACAAAGAGTTGCTCCACCTGCGCCTTCCCAACAAGCTGTCTACCGACAAGGAAATGCACAAGCCACCGCTGCTTCACCAAGACCAGTGTATCCACAAGGAAACGTGCATCAAGTTGTGCACTATTACAACGATGGTCAACAGATTGTGCAACAAATTATTCCTAAAGTAATTGCTGCAAATGGAAACCTACCTCTGAGTGGACCATTCCAATCTCATTCCGTTGCTGCTGTTGACCCAGCTGAATACGAGAAACGGCAGGAAATACTTCGACAAGCCTACCAGCAGCCACAAACTCGCAGCGCAGAAGCACAAGGGTGAGTTAAAACAGTGTTTTTTGCAATGACATTAATAATTTATGATTCAGAAACGTACGAGTACAGCCATCCGCGCGTGTTCAACCTAGAATCTACGAGTCTACAGTAACTGCCACAGGACATAGACAAGCCCATGCTATACGAACATATCAAGCTACCAAGTCAGTCAGCGTTACACCGCCCAACTCACAACCGGCAGCCGCTACGAGAAGTTCCGGAAGAGTGAGTGCAGCCAAGAAGCGATACAGTGGACATGTTCTTCCGGGACCAACAATTGATCATAGAGTAAGTTGTTTGGTCGAAAATCTACACATTGTAGTTTATCTTTCAGAGTTTACTAGAAAAAAGAACAACATCAAAGCCTCGTTATGTTCGCGTGCCATAAACCTCACAATCAAACCATGATGTAATTAATTCATTTGTTATTCGAGTATTTATTTATTTATATGTTTCAGCAACTTTCTTAATATTTCAGCAACTTTCTATATATAATAGTTTTTCCAGCAATGTCTTTCGTTCAGGTTGTCATATCACTAATTCAATTCAATTAATATTAGAACTTGTATCGATATTATCAGTGAACAGTTTTTTCTTCTCTTTTTCACAGAAGAAAAAACAATAAAAAATATTCAACTGATCTCGGGCGGGCTTAAACCGCCGGTCTTTGGTGTGTTAAACAGATGTGATAACCACTACACCACGAGATCCCTGAGTAAGAAGAGGGAGAAGACGTATTATAAACAGGGAGCGTAGTGGAAACTAGCGGTAGTGAAAATAATGGTGGGCAGAAAAAAAATGAAATGCACGTAAAATTTTTCAACATATGCGTAAATGATTGCTAAAGAAACATTGCAGCAAATTAATGCATTATAATTTCTAAATTCACATGTACCACTAAAAATTTGAAACTAAAAATGGTTCCTAAAAATTCATAAATCACCAAACATGTATTTTAAACTATTCCGAATCTTATCTTGATATTTGTTAAATATCTTCACTGTTGTTTTGCTTCAGGCATATTTGAGAGTAGCTACAAAACCAATTCCTCCGCGTTTTCGTTACATATTCATGGTATTTGCTGACCATTACCGCGCGAATGCATTGTTCTGCACTTTCTCATACTGATAACAGCATGATAAGAGCCGCACGTTCTGGTTGAGAACAAATGAGGGAAGAGCATATTATATTGCATAGTCTCTGTTTCTGATAATACTGCAGAATTCTAGATTATTGCGATCGCCTTATATTCATTATTGAAAGTGATTTCTGTATGTTAGTAAAGTAAGACTTTCATTCTAATTTTCTCATTTTTAGCATTTTTTAAAAGGATTTTTTTTGAAATCCCCCAAGAAAGTGTGATATTCTTGCCAGTTTGTATATGCTTCAGGAGATATTTTGTGTTAAACAAAAATTGATATTGGAAACCAAAAAAAACTATACATGTACCATGACTCATACTTGTTTCCGTTTATTGAAATTTGAACACAGCGAGTTTCGAAATAATTGTTCAGAATTATGAAGCGAAGTATTTTAAAAATAAAGAGGTTTCACCCTGCTTTTATTCTATTTTCAGAACTTGGAAAACAAGAAATTGAAATACGAAGAAATGACAAACACATACAGAAAGTCGAAACGAAAATCGATCATAACTGCTGTCCGAAATATGCTCAAGGTATCATTGTCATCCAAACTAACGAAAAAAAAACTTAATTTACAGAAAAATTATATCGGAAAAACCGAAGTAAATACAACAATGTCCGCGGAAAGTTTTGCATATGACGGGCCCGTTATTTTTGACGATTTCGACGTTAGTATGGTAAAATATTGAATTTACATGAGCAGTTTCTCCCTTTCGTTTTTCGAATTTCTATTCTCGGTTATTCATGTTTGTTTTTAGATGAATCCAGGTCTGGACTTGTTGGACTTTAGAAAATCGGACCCGGTATGATATTTCATTTTCTTCTCGAATTTTGATGATGGGCTTCAAAACCTCATTGGTTGAAAATTACGATTTCAGAGTTTACTAACTTTAATTTTATAGCAACGACTCACTGATTTTGAAACAAAAATGGAAGACAATAAATCTTATGTGAATTCGGCATATGTTGGGCAGGTGAGTACAACACATTAATGAAAATTGCACTTTTATTAGTACCAACGAATCTTTCGGCTTTTTCAAATCCATAATTGTTTATTTATTTCTTTAACATATTTCAAACATTCACCAGATGTCTTCAGAAAAACTTCAATATGAATAGTCTTAATATTCATTTCAGTTTCTGGTTTAGACATTTTTATTTTTCCAATGTATAATAAATTTTGACTGATCAAAGAAGACTTTCAAAATGTAGTTAAAATTTTTCGTGCAGTTCAAAAAATCTGAGCTCTATTCTGATTTTTCAAATCTAAATCCATTCTGCTTACTCGGAACCTCATCTCATAAAAAGTCTCTCTTGTATAGTTTTAGTGAAAAACGTTTTTTTTTTGCCTGATCCATTTTCATTATTTATGTTTCTAGATGGACACTTCATTGTCCACTACATCGAACAAGACCGCAGGACGTCCTCGCCTCACTCGACAGGTTAGTTTTTGGATTCTGCAGGTTACATTTCCATATAGCACTAGATATTTCTCAAAATTTGAAATATGCGGATTATAGTTCCAAGTTAGTAAAATCAACTTCCGTCACATTTTCCGACCGAAAGAAAGCCTTACTTTCAAAAATTGTGGTTTTTTTCAGAACGCAATAGTGCAAGAAGCTTTATCTGGAACTGCAATGACCACAGCGGGAAAAAATAAGGTAATTTTGTTTAGAGTCAATGGTGTGAATGAATTGAAACAAAATTGAAGGCTCTGGACAAAAGTGGAATCATTGCAACTTCCAAACGTGAAACTGAAATCAAGAGCAACAAAGGAAACTAAAAGGACTTATAAACCGGGAATTTGAGGTATACACAGTCCGAGATTCAACTTACTATTTATTATACTCCATTTACAAACCACTTCCATTTTTCAATTTTTAACCCTTTTTTCGAAGTTTTTTGCCTGAAACCCCCTTTTTTGTGATCTTGGTTGCGGCAGTCAAAATGAATTTATTCAAAGGATGATCTTCACTGTTTGAGTTTTAATTTCACTACATTCCCAAACATTATTACTGTGTTACAAAGTTGCAAGACGTAGATAGAAAAAAACAATGTGTATGTGTTGACTGGATGCAACTGACATGCCGCAAAATCCCCCTCAATGACACTGTGTAGAGCGGATTCAAAAAGTCAGTTTTCTCGGAAGTTTTGGCATGTTGCGCAGCCTCTCCTCCGACGAATTATTGTATAACAACGACGACATCAGCCAGCTGAGAGTATGTGTAGAATAAATGCAAAAAAAACGTGGCGATGAGGAAAGAAGAAGAAAGGAGAAAGGCGGGAGAAATGAAGAAAACATTCGCTAATCGCGATGACACTTCTCGGGTCGAATCGCATTACGGTTGAAAAAAGGAGGAATGGATGGCATGAAAAAATGTCTTCCCGAAGATATTTCTGCAGCAGTTCTCTTTTAGGAATGATTCAATAAGTGAAAAGTTTTGAAGAAAAATTTTCGATTCCGTTTCAGCATTATATGGTGAATTACACAAGTTAAACTAAAGTGATACTTAATAACTGATTCAAGGTTTGAAGTTGAAAAACAGTTAATGTTATGAGACATTGATATCAGCAATGATTTGGAGATGAAATGTTCAGATCCCCGAATAGAAATGTTTTTCAGATTGAGGGTGAACACGATTCAAAAATACTTCAACAATAATTTATTCCGTTATAACCTCTCCCAGCACAATCAACATAATCTTTATATTAGTTTTGATTCGCCAGAAGATATCATTGGAATTCTCAAAAAATCGGATTACAGAATCACTTGAACATATTTGATGCGGTCTCGAAAGATATAGGTACCCTCTGTGAATTCCATCTACTATATGATTTTATTAGTTCAATAAATTGTGACCCTTTGAGTGAAATATAAGGTGAAGAAAGAAGAAAGGATGAAAGGAACACATTGTTTGCAAAGGCACGAATAATCCGTTAGTGATACAAATAAATGCCGGTAGAATCCTGTGCGGTGTGGATAAATGTACTCGAACTAAATTTTCTGTGCAAAATATATTTTTTAATGCAGCCAATATTTTTTGTACAATTTCTAGTAATTTTTGAAATATTTTACTTTTCAAAGCTCATATCCTTAGAATTTATTTCACAGCAAACTTTTCTTTTTAGCATCAGCAGTTTCAAGCAAACAGATAAAATATTGCATCCATATATTCATGCAGCGAAGCTTCATCTTCTTTATACTCTCTCGATTTCCCATTTTCTACTTTCTTTTTTTGTTTATCACTGGAACAGTACAGTGGGTTTCGAAATCTTTCTGCGATACCTTTTTTTGTTTCCTTTTTCTTATAGACGCTCTCATTCTTACCGAGCGAAATTGTTGGCGTATGTAGGAATTGCTCGCCAAATCACAAGATTCAATCCAAAACTGTTATCAGTTGTTTATCAGAGCACGTCACAAACTTTCCATTTGCCCCGGGATTGTGCTCTAGTCATTCTCGTCTTCTACTCTCGATAGCTAATATAGTCTTACCCCCATCCGTGTCACCCAAAACTCGGTCGACCGATAATAAAGTCTTGTCATTGTACATGGTATTTGAGTATACAGCTATCTATGCATGTGTGTATGGCCGTCTCTGGAGACTTAGAATGTCAGTTATAGAAAGCAAACATCAGATAGCTGAAAAACTGCAAAATGGAAAATCGGATTGAATGGAAAATGGGCGTTTGGAATTCACAAAATACAAAAATCAGAATTACTGTGTAATTGGATTGGTTTAAAAATCAAGCTCTTGTTTTTTAAAATAACAAAAATGATACAAAGTTGGTATATCTCACATCCCCTCGTCCGAATATGCAACAATTCAACAAATGTATGTTTCAGGGCATAAAGTTAGTTTAGAGCTGATAAGAGAGAGCCGCAAATATATATGAATGTGCGTGGCAACGGAAAATTCAAAAAAGATTCTCTAAACTGATAATATGACCGCTTGAATTGTTTACTTTTTGAATCCCTTGGCGCCATTAAGACGATAAACTGTACCTTTTCAAAATCGAAGTCAAACTTCCGCCGTCGACACTTAAAGCCTCTTTCGGCTTTCCCTTTTTTACAAAAACAATATGTTTGATCCAGTGCCTTCTTCCCATGCGTGTGAGTCATCCTTAAGGTGTGCATTTAGTATGAACAGCTATCTTTTTTCGAAAAAAAAAACCTTCTACCTCCCTGTATATCTTATATCTAACTGTGAAGGTTCTATAGAAGGGAATTCAAATATTATGGTGGTATTTGGTGGTATTTGCGCTGGCATTCATTTTTGGATGTTTGACTAGTCACCGCAGTGATTCACCGTAACCCCTTCGAAGCTTTTGGAACATGGAACATAACCTACAGATGAACAGAATCGATCAATTAATCACTCTTGTACGTTTAAGACACAATTATATGTACTTTTGGATTCGAGATTAGACAAAAAATAATTCAAAAACTGGGTTTACGCAATAACAATAAAAATTTTTTGAAAAAATTCTCAGTCCGTATCAGAGGACTGATTCAATATATTTTTCAAATGTCATTCGCCCCAAAAAGAAATATTTATTGTGCCCAGAAAGATGACGAAGCAATTTGGACGAAAGAAGACAGAGAACCAATATTTGATTCTCATCTTTTTTCGGAAAAAGGAGAGACCGGGAGAACTTTTGTATCCATACCAATCCCCGGCACTTTTAAAGTTTGAATTTTTTATTATCACAGTCAAGTAACATTCATAAAAAACTTTCTTATCAAAAATTTTCAAATAAGGAACAGTGACCAGAATGTTGAGCAAATATTAGCAATTTTAGAATTATTGAGTTTTAAAACGAATTGAGTGGATTTTAGAAATTATACAAAAAATATAAGTTTATTTTAAATAATGGTTCATTTGTTTTTTTTTTGCTGACCTAGTTCACTTGGCAGATGTTTGTGCTGTGATGTGAAAGTGACTGATTCAAAATTGTATTGAAATAGTTGAACGTTTTATTTTCTTCAGAAGTGAATACAGAAATCTTAATAGTTCAATCATTTCGTAGTCAAAGGTGTCATCCTAATGTATGATGATTTTTTTCCCGGTGTTTCTTCCATATCTGTTTTCTATTATTCACCGTGCCTTTTCCAACCATCGGTTACTCTTCCTCCCTTTCTTTTCAACTTGTCCATAACCCCTCCCATCCTTGTATTCCCGACTCACACAGTTATGTAGATGTATCGCAGGATTATCAGGCTCACATATTGATAACCGGTGCAGCGGTGTTGGTCGGCTGACGTCGTACAGTCATTCTATATTCCTATTCCAATTTCATAACCTATAATGTGTCCGTTATCTCTAGTAAGGGATCCATGAAGTGCGTCTGTATGTGACTGGCTGGCCTAAAATGTGACCAATTTTTAATTATCATTGTAGTTTGATGTTGTTTATTGAGTAATTTCAAGAATTATTTCATACACGCAAAACACTGGAATTTTTTAGAGACTGATATTTCATAATTTGAATTCTTCAATTCTATAGAAACATTTGAATTAACTAACTGGTGTAAGGTCATTACAAACTAATATTCTCACACAACTTCACGAAATCACTCAACTCCTCATCCCACGAATTTCGAAGCCATTTTCAAAGAGGTCTTGTCATTTCGATAGGTTCAACGAGTAAATTGCCCGTGGAAACGCAGACGTATTTGTTTCTTCAAACAATGATTTGGCTCATTGAATCAGTAAACATATAGAGATAGTTCATGCCTGATGATAAGGCTGCTGAATTTCAATTGACTACTCGAGTTTGCCTTTAATCTCCTTTTCATTTCCTTTCTTCTCGTCTCAAACAGCCTCGACGGTGTGTATTGTATTCTGAATCGAATATTCAAAAACCATTTGCGATATAAATACATGTGTGTATTCTTTCAAATTCTTGGGGGGTAACCATGTGATTGAGAAATTGGATTATGTATACATGTGTTATTACTGGCCAAATCAAAGAGTTCACAATTGAGCTGGAAAAGCGATCCCTATTTTTTTAATTTTTCAGTTTGTTGTGTCGCTTTACTGCTCTCATCATCATCCTTCTAAACCCATATTTGTTTCAAAGAGTCCGCGCTTTATGACTTGTGAAAAGATGGTTGTCGCAACCCCAACCATATACTTCGTCCACATCAGTCTAATCCCATCCGTGGTGTCTTTGAGTAACTGGGATTACTCGGCTGCCAGCTTACCCCTCACTTTACCACACCACCCTCAGTATTGCTCGCCCCCATCGCCGTGCCCAGATTGTTGTGCTATTGTTTCAATTAGCCACGCGACACCTAAACTAAATCCTAGATGGCTTAAGAATCATCCATGATTCTTGTTAAAGCGAATAATTGATGATGATGGGGAAGGAATGAAAACACCAAACGATTTGTTTTGATATCCATTGTACGGAGCCAGACAGCAATTTCCCTGACTTTGGTTACGATAAGGTAGGGGAACTGAAATTTTTCTGGGAAGAGAGTCTCTGGGATTATGCTTATCCATCACATCCCATCATCTTATATCTAGTTATCTGTCTTCATTGCTGAAGTTTTGAAAGTTCAGAACAGGTACACATCAGAGTATCTTATCCTAGAGGTCTTAGAGCTCCAGAACAAACATGAAACAGCATTTTGCTATCTTATCGTTGGGGAAACACCCACCCCATTTTTTGTAACAACCAACGACTGTCATCATCTGTAACCCTAACCTTTATCTCTGCTGACACATCGAGAAAGAAGATTTTTAATTCCCGGTCTTCCAATTCTGATGCGCTGTTGTAGCATCGTTATTTTCTACGATGACGACGGTGAGTGAGGAAATGACAAAAAGGCGGGGTTATAGGGCAGAATACGTCTGAGGGCGAAGATGGTATAGAGGAGGAAAATCTTGAACAAGTGGATTGTCTTTGTTCGATTCCTTCTTCTTCCTCTTCTTTTCCTTCAAACGATGCCACACCACAACGACCCGAGGCTTTTCTCGAACTAGTAGTACATGATCATCGTCGATGGCGTCTTCTTCTTCTTTTCCCTCATCTCTGCAGGAGGGCAACCAGCCCCATTTTCTCTTCTTCCACCTTGGCTGCCATTCCTAAAAAAACTCTTTCTTCTCTGACTGTCAGCCCTCTTTCACATCATCTACATTCTCTCTTGGGTCGTACCTCCTCTTAGACTCTTCCATCCGGTTCCCGCTTTATGCCATCTCGATCCCGACCTCCTCCTACCTTCTTTCACTTTTCCTAGTCTTACATCTTCTTACCATTCACCTCCCACTTAGTCTTCTTGTGTGCGCGAGACAGTCAGTCAGTCTTCTTTCAGATTTTCCTTTCCATATCAAATCTTGTTTTTGTATTTTCTCTTCATTTTTTCTCAAAATCATCTTCAATCTTCTCCAGTAGTATTAAAAGTAGTAGTACCTGTCGCCTGATGTGTGGCTGTTGTTTTTATTTGTGTCTTAAGATAGATCTATAGTCGGTTCTTGCTTTCTCTCTTCCTTTCCCCTTCCGCTGCCTTCGACTCAAATCACTTATCCAAACTCAATAGTCTTTATACCGATCCTTAATCGACTTAACAAATCTTTTATCCCGCACCACTTCTTTTCTAGCGGAGCAAAAGCTTGTTTCGGTTCCCCGCAATCGCAATTACGGTTGAATAGGTGCGCGCCTTCTTTTCCATCCTCCATATTTGCTCCTAGCCTATGTCTGTCCCCCGACAAAACTACCATATCTCATTTTGTTCTCACTCGCACGCTCTTTCATTCTCATCTTCCGACTCTTCGTCAAAACTCCGCCCACCCATATCTACCAAAGGGCGGGAACTCCGAACCGATTGGGGGAGAGGAGTGAGAGAGCCCGGATCCTATCTTGTCTTCTTTTCGAACAATTATTCCTCTTCTTGTTCTTCGTTTGAATGGTTTCCTTCTTTTTCAGTTTTCTCCCATCATTGTATTTTTATACTATTTACCGTTGTCTATTTCCACAAGTTTTCAAAAATTCAACAAATTCAATTTTTAGCAAAATATGTTTCCAATGAGGGTAATTGTGGAAACTGTTCGTTCACAACATTGTCTAAGTTGCTCACACGAAGGACACATGATAACTGATACATATGCGATTGTTGCCGGGACAACCACATTAAGCCAGCTTGTCGATACAGTTTTAGCAGCTTTAGGCCATTCGAGCATGTCTACCAGTGCACGAGGTAAGTAAAAGAAAACAGATCGGTAGTATTTGAGTATCACAGAATAGAATACTATCGTTTCAATTCTATCACGTTTCATTTGACAAACGGATAAAAGATCTTGTGATTTCCACCTAAATTTCAACACAAAAAGTTAAGTGAGTAATACTAATTCTTATTGATTCTGCAACCGTCTTTTGTTCTAAGATTGGTACCGCATTAGGAACCATAAATCCCCCATTTTTCTCTTGACATTCACTCTCAGTTTCGTTTCAGTGTTGCGCAACTATGCTGTAAGAGGTTGTAGAAGGAGATATAGATCTTCGGCCGAGATCACCCACTTTTTTTCTTGAACTAAAACGTCTTCCCCTCATGTGTTTTTTCTGAAACTCTTCTACTTCCTCACTATTTCCATTTTCTCACTTTCACGTTTTCTCCTACTCCCACCTTAGAAGAAAGTGAAACAGACCGACGAACCTGTTCTTTTCTCGGCGGCTTTGCCTTCTCTTTGGTATCTACTTTCTCAAAGATTATGCAATCAGGTGAAAAGAAAATCGTAAGAACTGACGGAGGAGAAAACTAGAGGGGAGAAAATTGGAAATAACGACTATTTTCCAGCCACCGTAGCTGAAAACAATGAACAATAGAATGATTATGTGTTGTCCAGTGTTTTGAATAATACGTTTCTTATGAAGTCATTGTTTCCAGGTCTTATACAAGTCAACAACTGGAAGCCACTGCCGTTTGATCAAATTACTGAAAATTTGGAAGAAACTGTAGAAAACTTGTTTAAAGACATCTCATCACACGTGGTTCTCAAAATACTGTCAAAACCGTAAGTGCTCGTTTATATTTTCTTTTGCTCATTTTTCTTCTTCTACCATTTGACTAACTAAGTTTCGCGCAACACCACCATCCATATCATCCGATCCTCTGACATTCCTCGTCAAACCAGACTGCCTATAGAAATCTGCTGAAGGGGGCGCTCATTTGTGTGCTCTCTCAATGTAAAGGTGAACAAAATCGCACCTCTACATACTCTCTTTAGATCTACTTAGAAAAGTTGGCAAACATGGGTACAGCCAGCACAAAACTGAACATATGTCGTTGTGGGAAAACTATATTTTTGCGAAACACGCGGGGTCGGCTTTTTAGTGTACGCTTTTTTCAATTAAACCTCTGAATCAAAACAATTTCTGCCAATCTCCCAATTTGTGTGCATATATGAGATGTGATAGTAGCCTTTTGTGCTGCTAAGCCTTGCTAATATTTGGTATCGGTACTAAACATTGACACATAAGCATACACAATTGTACATACACTGCAAAAGATTTACCGCGTTTTGGTCGCCGTCCTTAGAAATTTTATGAGTTCCATGAAAAGCGTTTCATGATTTTTATGGATCCCATCGATCATTGTACACACATACACGATTTTATGATCAATTATTCTTCTAATACCATTTTGTGCTTACAGGACGACGGATGCAAACGCTGTGCAATGTATAAGCGAGGTAAAAAACAAGCTTCTAAAAGCAGCAGTGAACAAAAATCCAAGCGTAATGACCAGTGTCGACAATCAACAGGTTAAAGTAAGCTCTTCGCGTTGAAACAATGATTTACCATTCTCTATTCTTCAGGAAGTCATCAACACAATTATCGCAGGAGACGAAACCCTTCTTAACTCTGAGCAAATTGGCGCTGTAAATGAGTGGCTCGATACCCTTGAAATCGCGGAAGATCGAAGAAGGTAAGAAGATAGCGCCGCCCAAAACTTTGCGGAGCCACTCAGCTAGCCAGCCACCGTAATCCCGTTTTCATTGTGCTCGGTAGCTGCGACTGTGCTGGATGTATGAGACCAAGTGAAAGAGTTTTCGAGTCAGCTAGTGGCGTAGTGAGGAGGAAGCGCGGTGACACGGGCGTTGAGGGAGTAGCGCCAGTTAAGCCGCTATTTGGTGCTCGAGTTAAGCCTCTCGGCTTGTTTGTAGAAATAGACTCTCTGGATTGAGGGTTAAAAATTTTTAGCAAGTCTTGGGATTGTGTATACAATGAGGAACTGCGACTTTGAAACGAGAAGAGGGGAAACAGTGGAATGTTTTGTTTATGATTTACGGAGAGGATTTTAGAATACCTCACGGGATGCAGATAGATATCAGGTATTAGTGCAACTATCGGATATCATATAAACAATGACTCAACAACTTTAATAGTTGCTCAGATAGTTTTAATTGAGTTTAGCAAGGGACAAACTCAAAATTCCAATTTCCACAAACTGCTTCAAGCTCACAATGTCTCGATTCCAAGGTCCCATCTAATTTCCGGGTTCATCTCCGCAAAACTTCTTTTGTTTTGAAACGCATCAATATGAATGGATAGTTATTTCGGCACCCGAAGAAGGTTTAAGAGGGGGATTAACAATGAAAGAGATTGTATCATTTTGTTCGTGCCTCTCTTTTTGTCGGGTCCATCATCACACTCATCTCATTAGTGACAGCTGCTTTGGGAAAATTAGCAAAAAGGGGATGAAATGTCTCGCAGAATGCGCCATATAGATTTTCCCTTCGAATCAAAATCAGTGAAGTAGATTTTTCTGAAAAATCGATGAAAGATCATGCCAATTGAATACTGTACATTACCATTCTTTGAATTATTTTGAGATTATAGTTTTTTTTTCGCGTATATGAAGATGAGAGTGGATGAGATGAGATGAAGACACCTAATTTAGGAACAAGGAGACAAAAACCGATCAAATTCGTTGTCATTTCCCTAGTTTTCCTCTAATTACCCTCCATCATGGTATTGTCTCTTTTTGAATGGGGGCTAAGCGATCTTGAAATAGGCAAGACTGGTTTTGCTTCGTTGTCAACGACTGTCTGTTTTTTGTATTGACCCGCCGCCCTGGCTTCTGAAACTGTTGATCTGCTGAGGCCAAATACATGTCCATTTTGGTACACAAAGAGACGAGAAATGAAAAAAAAGGAGGGGGTCAAATTATCGGCTTGTTTTGGAAGCTTCCATTTTGTACTCTTTCTTTTAAGACAAATTCAAGTTTTTTTTTGCAACACGCGATCTTGGCATTCCTTTTCAAGTCTCGTAAAACATTTTCTCACCGTATCTTTCGAACTGTCCTTTATGAGTAATCTTGTCTGTAAGACGAGGGGGTGAACATACGTAGATATACAAAACTATACAAAAGTGGAGATGAGAAGAAACGCTGACACATCCTTTGCAAAGTAATAAAGGATAAGAACACAATAAAACGAGACTTGGGCAAATATGACCAGGAACTGAAAGCTAATTTAGTCTTATAACCGTATTTGCAGTCCGACACAAGTGCAACGATTCAACACAATCTTCGAGATTCCTCGGCTGGAAAAATGGTTCAAGCAGGATGCGAACCCATCGAAACAGAAAATGAACAACTATCTCAATCAGCTCAATCAAAGTCCATTCAGAAGAAATAATGCGAAAATCAACTATCAACAGATCTGCAATTGGTTTTCTCAAAAACGTGCCAGCAATAGGAGCACAATCACTCCAGTGGACCCAGTTCAAATCCCACCCACATCGGCACCAGCAAATCAATTCTTACCGGGACTTCAGTTGAATTTGCTTCAAAGTCTCTTTGGCGATGCGCAGCGTCCAAAATTTGATTTCTCCATCATGAACGAGAAGCTCGATGAAAACAGAATCTTGGGAGGATCTGACTCTCCATCTCCAGCCGATGATGAAATCCACAGCAATTCTGATGAGACTATCCAGGATAGTGGTTTCCCTATGATCATCAAGACCGAGCCGGAAATGGTGAGTGACCAAATGCACTAAAGTTTTATTACGATGCTCCGTTTTCAGGAATCTAGCGCGTCTTCTCCAGAAATGACCAACTCGATGCGCGAATCTCTCTCCTCAACTTCCCCAAAGTTGATCAGTGGATTGGATCTTGGATCGTTCAGCACCCATTCGTCTTCCACCAACTCGATGTCAAATGTCAACTCATCAGGTACAACAAGGAACAAAATGACACTATGGGATCTAGGAGAGCAGAGCAAGAACTCATAAATTAAAAGAAGCAAGCACACAAACACATCAACAAGCACAGATACACAAATTGCGCAGCGCAAAGCAGACATAACAAAGGCTTTGAGGCAGTGGAAAAAAGTAGGGCGTCAAATTTCGCGGACTATCTCATAGTGTTCCCACAGAGAAAATGTTTCGAACAGGACAATTAGGGACTAGGAGCAGAGAAACAATTTCTTTACACTTTTTCATATTTCCGGTTTAGTTTTTTCAGCAGCTCGCTCTCGTCTCATGTTCGATCCACTCACCGAATTGCCAGTCCTCGAGAAGTGGTTCGAGGAGAACCCACACCCAACCTGGATGCAAATCGATCAATACACTCAATTCTTGAACCAATGTGCCTACCGGGAAAACTACCCGCATATCAGTCAACACAACGTCAAGGTTAATAAAAATTAGATTTTTGATAATCCATATTTTTCTTACAGATTTGGTTCAAGAACAGACGTGCAAAATGCAAAAGATTGTTGAATGGGATGCAGGAAAAAATCGAACAAAAGTTGTTTGTGTGAAAACTCAAACAGTTTTGAAGAAAAATGTGATATTTCGTGGACCGATTCGTCGGATGTCCCACAGGAAGAGGAGCGGCGCAGAAACAGAAACTCCAGTTGCTAGCGAAAATAATTCATTTCTATTACCAAACAATTTTGTTACGCCACAACTCCACAATGTCCAAAAAAAAGGAAAAAAACAAAACAAAAAAACGCGCAAAATCATGTTGAGCTCTGGAACGCCTGATTCTGCCCTGATCGCTTCCTGGGGTAAGTCTGGTGTACTCGATTCAATTAATTTTCTTAGTTTTTTCTTTCCTTAATTTCCATGCTGGTACCCTTGTTCCGATCTTCACTTCTCAACTGAACTACTGTTGTCAAACGCTTATTTTACTTGGATTGTTTGTAATTTGCAAACTCTCACGTCTGTTTTTCATTTCTTCCAAGAAGACTCAGTTTCATTTTTTTTCCCAACATAACCGTAACTATCAGCTTGCTAACCTAATATTTCAACCCCCTCAAAATCCTCAAAAAAGTTTTTAATCACTTGTCATTCTTTCAAATAGCCTTCATTCAACTAGATTCACTTATCGCTAGCTGTGAATCAAATGTATATTACATACCAAACTCTTTCAGTTATCTCTAGTCGCTTCTTGTCTCGTCCAAATTTGATGAGAAATTAGACCAGCTTTAATTTCCTTTAATCTTTCATCCCCAACACTTTTTCGCTTCCCTCTGCACTCTTTCAATTGTTTCTTCTAGACTCTAAAACAATGTTATTCTTTTGTGCTCATGCAATATTCCTAAATCAATCAATACTTTACTCCTTTAGCTATCTTGCCTTTTTTCAGTTTATTTTTTGTCGATTTTCTAATAATCTCAGAACCGCCCCGCCTTATATTTTCCAAAAATTACTATTCCATCTTTTTATTTCTCTCCATTTTCCCTTAAGTTCTGAGAAATAAATTTTTTTCAATCATTTTGTTTCTGCACAAAAGATACAGACACAATTTTGGACATATGCAAAACATTCGAATTGCCAAAAAGGGGCGTATATAGACTATAAGACTTTTTGAGTTTGAAATAAGACATCGTAAGTTTTCTGATTATGATAAAAACTGAAATGAAAAAAGTTAATCAGATTATCAATCATTACTCAATTAAGAGTATGAAGTATTTAAATTGATGGGTTTAACTTTTCATCATTATTTGTCAGTTTCATTTTTTCGCGTTTTCAACTGCCGTATTGAGATTTTAATAATCTATTTGTTAATACAAATTTACTTCGAACTTTTTCTTCAAAATATCCACTTTCAGCAAAATGCTCAAGTTTTTTGTGATAACCTCATTTTTGTTAGGAATAGCACACCCATTGGACGAATTAAAATTATCAAGTATCCGACACAGATGTATGTGAAAATTGATGTAGCACTACAGTTAAAATGAGAAGAATTTTCTAATCAGCTTGCTTGCCACGCTCACTGCGCGACTCATTTTTTGGCAATATTCAATATTTGGAAACTAATTGCAATCTCTGAAAGATTGGATGAACAGTTTTCAAATTTTCATTTATTTCTGTCAAACCCAAAAATTGTACGGCAGATCGAATTTGTCTGTGAGGATTTCATTTGTGGGAAAGCGCGCTATAAACCAATAAAGAAAAAATAAATATTATCATTCATTTATTCTTAGATTTTTAACGATTATACCATTTTCAGTGAATCAAAAACTTGAGATTTTCTCTTCGTTCAATTTACCTGAATTGTCAAAGCGAGTTTTTCCTGAGCCTTCTCATCACAAAGTCATTCTGGATGATAGTCAAACTACGTGCTACAATAGATCAATTGATATTTTGCCACACGATGGTACAGCACAATTTGGAGATTTGATCGAAAGCGACTTCAGGTTGTATTCATGAGAAAATTAGCATATAAAATATCAAAACCTTACAGCTCCTTTTGTGCTGACACCTTTACTTTCTACGTCGACAATTTCATCAACGAATTTTTTGTCATTATCAACACACTTGACGCACTCAATCCGCGAGCAACAGTTTATAATCCGATTGGAGGAGAAGTTTCTTCATGTCAGGATTATTCAACGTCCGCAACGCAAACCATTCATCTTATCTGCAACGGAAAAAGCCTTCATGGAACAGGGACGTATACAGTCCAACTGACAGCTGATTTGAATAAGTGAGAAATTTGGCAACGCTACTCTAAAGCCAGGTTGTCGGAGAGAGATATTTAAAATCATACTTGTAAAATTCCGAGCCGGCCCGCCAAAGCCCGGGCCTGAGGAAAATTTCAAGGCCCGGGCCCGGCCCGGAAGGCCCGGTAGCAAAAATTTTGCCATTTTGAACCGAATTTTGAGCTCTCAATACAATTTTCTATATTTTGTTTGTGTTTTTTGGATTGTTTGTCTGTTTGATCAAAAAATATCAAAAGAAAACTCGAAAAAAATTTTTTGATCGAAAAAAATCACATAAGGGTCCCCTTATGTGTTTTTTGAAATTTTCAAAACTTGTGGAATGACAGGCCCGCCGGGCCGAGCCTCCGAAATTCAGGAAAAAGCCCGGCCCGGCCCGTTACAAGTATGTTTAAAATGAAGCACATTTCGAAATGCTTGAAACCTCATCCAATCCACTCATTGCCTTCAAGAAATTTGCCCCGAGATAAACAGATATGAAAACACTAAAGTTTATTAAAGAAAAAACTAAAAAAACGAGATTATCTCACTTTCGAATTTATTGACTGATATTCGAAACTTTTCATACAGTGCTCCACATAATGATACGCCCACCCCTAAAATTTCGAAAAACTGAATTATCCGGAATCTTCGAAAACTCATTTTCATAGTGTAGAAACCTTGTCAAAAATGACAATTATGGGTCCTACAGCAAAATCTGAGTTATGCTGAGTAATCGAGAAATTTTGATTTTTTTCGTTTTTTGTTTTTTATTTTTCCACATAATGATACGGCCACCCCCATTTTTTGTGTCTTTTCCTTAATTTTTATGACCGATTGACACGTTTAACCATTGCATGGCGATATTTTATGAAATTTTACAGCAATATGACTAAGAATACCATTTGCTGTTCATGGAAGAAGCCAAATTGGTGGCAAGTTGGCACAAACCTTTTCGCTCCGCCAAACCTCGAAAGTTTGAGATCGTCACAAACTGCTATAAGCCGATATGCGTCTAGCACACACAACATTGAAAAGTCAATATGTCGTCCAACACTTTTTACGGACGGCGGGAAACGAATGATCATACGGAAATCTTCCAACTCAACGACCGTTTGTTCAGATATTCGAAGCAAATTGAGCTTCAGAGTGTCTTCCAAAACAGTAAGGGATGCCCTTTTTAGGTAACCATTCATAAAATGTCGAAAAATGGAAATAGGAACCATTAATTACTGAAAAACGCATAAAGTTTGTCAGAAACGACCGGAGAGCCAGCTTGAGGAAAGGAGTTTCTGACAAACTATGCGTTTTCAAGTAATTAATGGTTCCGGAGTGGTGGACGTCATAGGGACTTTTTAATGTTGTAACTGTGTGTGCTGAACGCATATCGGCTTATGGCAGTTCGTGAAGATCCCAAATTTTCGAGATTTGGCGCAGCGAAAAGGTTTGTGCCAACTTGGCACCAATTTGGCTTTTTCCATGAACAGCAAATGGTATTCTTAGTCCCATTGCTGTAAAATTTCATAAAATACCGACATTCAATTGTTAAGCGTGTCAATCGGTCATAAAACTTTGGGAAAGGACACAAAAAAAGGGGGGGGGGTGGCCGTATCATTATGTGGAAAAACAAAAAGCAAAAAATGAAAAAAATCAAAATTTCTCGATTACTCAGCATAACTCAGATTTTGCAGTAGGACCCATAATTGTCATTTTTGACAAAGTTTCTACACTATGAAAATAAGTTTTCAAAGATTCCGGATAATTCAGTTTTTCAAAATTTTAGGGGTGGCTGGCATTATGTGGAGCACTGTAATGAGGAATAATTACTGCAATCAAGAAGTATCAAAAACGGAAAAGCCATCTGCAATGATTTTCAAGATTTTGAAAAAAGAATATGCATTTTTTCAGACCATGTATTTTCGAAATTCGTGCTCCAACAAAACTCACTGTTGATGGTGGATTCGTGGAAGATGTTCGTGATGATGATGTTCAACAGATTGTGCTCTCTACTGCAAACCAAGGAATTTTCCGATTCCCAATTGAAAACCAAGCTTCTTACTTAGCATTCAAAGTGGAAAGTGAAGAATTCCCAGTTCATCCAGACGAAGTTCATTTGTACACAAATGGGTTATTTGATATCAAAATGGACCTGAGCACGAGGTAGGTTGTACATGAGAAATTTCGTTTTATTCAATTGTTATTTTTACATCACTTTCTGAACAGGTCAAAATTTTGGCTCTATCTGAGTTTAGTGGTTTCATGGGATTTTAGTGGTCCCATAGGATTTTAGTGGTCCCATAGGACTTTAGTGGTCCCATAGAATTTTAGTGGTCCCATTGGATTTTAATGGTGCTATAGGAGTTTAGTGGTCCCATGGCATTTTTTGCTGTAGTTATGGCAACTGAAGTTTTTTCTTGTGAGTTTTGTCAAATATACTTTCGTTCTGAAAAAAATAATTTGGGGACTTTAGAGCTCTGATAAATCCGTTGGAAGATTTGTGCTCGAAGAGTTCTCAAGATTCCGATCCGTACACACAAAGACTCTTATACATGCATACTGAATTCCAGATTCCCGGATTACGGATTTGAATCTCTGGATTCAGAATTCCAGATTCCTGATTCTGGGTTTCGGACCAGGTGCACTGATTTATGACAAGTTAAATAAAAACTTTTTTTGAGACTTTCAGTTACTTCTCAAGTTCCAGGAAACCGGAATTTCAATTTTCGTGATACTTGAATTCAATCAGAAAGCTGATTCAGAATCCGGCACATGGACTCTGGTGTAAGTCATTTAGGACGCGTTCTCTGTAGAACTCAACTTCAGGTCTATTATCCACTGTACAGAAAAATTCAAACTTGTTTTTTCTAGCTGATTTTTCATATATTGCATGTTTATGGACATTTAAGGTATATGAAATATACAGTGCGCGTCATAATGATAGCACCACCCTATGTTTTGAGGTTTTCTGAAAAACTAAAAATTTTGGAGAAAAACGGCTGATGCCATTCGATTCAGCATCCCAAAAAACTTATATGTCCTCTGAATCAAGTGCCAGTCAAATTTTTTAGAGCTACAGTAATTGTAATTTGTTTATTGATCACGTGTAATAAAATATTAGCGGGGTAGACATGAAAGACTCAGAAAATGCCCCTCACGAGGCCGATCTGAGTAAAGGTTACTGTAGTCCTAAAACACTTGACTGCGTAACCAAAAGTCTCTCTGCACGCCGCGTCATAATGATAGCACAACCCTGGAAAACGGAAAATCTCATGTTTATTTGAGAAATAAATTGAGAATATTCTGTTGGAACTCGTTAAAATAGTCTTACAAGGGAAGTGTTTTAAGACGGGGGTTGAGAATTTGTTGAAAATGTTAGCACTTATAGCTTGGACATCCACTACACGATGTCAGAAATATCTCGTCCCCGTATTCACCAGGAAGCTGAAAATCTTCGTCTGAAAATTTGGGCCGGTTTCGCCCCCTTCCTCCCTCCACTATTCCCTCTCCCTCCTCTACGCCCTCCGCGCCAGAGGAAAATGTCGGTTGTGTGGTGTTGTGGTAAGAGGATGTGTTATTAGCAGTGACTATGCTGATTCGAACCCCACTGTGGTAAATCTTTTTTTGCTCTTTTCGAAACGAATTTTTGATTTCCAGTTTGGCTCTCTAGACAATTTATGACACTTATTTCATGAAATTACAAGGTATTCAAAGTAAAAAAGAGGGTTTATGAGGACTTGATGAAACATTTAATAATGTTCTTTTCGACCGGTCCTTACATAAAAAAACGAAAGTGTTCATCCTCTGGAAAATTTTCAGTATTGCTCTTTTCGAGATGTAGTACTGCTAGATCGATCACATACAATATTAACACCTTTTTCTATAGATTTCAGTCAATTTCAAGCATTATTTGAGAAGTTAGGGGTTTTCAAAGTTCAAGCAATAGAGACTCTTTGAGGATTATTTGAGCCCGAAGACGAAATTGGATTGTAAAACTTTGTGAGAATGCTATTTTTAGCATTTCTGAACAACTGGGACATTTTTTAAAACTTTTCCAAAAATTTCAAAAAATCACTTTTTGAATGTGGGGGACCCCATGGTGATTTTTTTCGAAATTTTTCAAAAAAAAATTTTTTTTTTGAAAATGTTCAAAAACTTATTTAGATGATTGAGGAATGTTCGAAAATAAGTTTTACATTTGAGAAAATCCTGAAACACTAGTTTTAGAGCTCGAAAAATGCACGTTTTTGGTGAAAATTTAGCACTAAAATCACTTTGAGAGCCCATATTTCGATTCCTATTGGATCAGGGGATGAGATATTGCTGACACCGTTTTCAGCATGTTCGAAAGTACCTTTGTACAAATTTTGAGCAAATTCTCAACCCCCGTCTGAAAACACTTCCCCTGTTAGAAGTCTATTCTGACAGTCTGCACAAAAATTGATATCTCTATTCAAGTTTTAGAAAAAATTATTTTCAGACATTTTCGTCATTTTTTGAGTTTTTGGAACGTATCTTGAATAACTTTGCTGCTGGGTGAGATTTTGAGCTGAAATTCATAGGGAATATTTTGAGTATGCTCGTAGTCACGTTGCGATTGTTCAAGGCAATCATGGGCTCTGGTAGCTCATAATTTAGATTGACTTTGAACTGAAAAAATATGCCAAAAATTAAAATTTTTCAAAGATGTGTAAAACGTTCAAAAGATGTTCTAAGTTACCAAAATCGTTTTCGAAATTATGATATTGTACAGAAAGATAATTTTTTCTGGACAAATTCAGTTTTTAAAAGAAAGAAAATCAAAACCACCAAAATTCAAGGCTCGTTTTCGAGATTTCGGTTTTTCTTAAATTAGAAACGACGACTCAGAATAGCATGGAAACAACTAGTAAACACTCCAGACCACTGAAAAAATATTTCTTATCAATTTCAGCTCAACATTTTAACCAAGAGCAAAGTTATAGTGCTTCAGTAGTTCTATGTAGATGTATTCAAGATTCATTCCAAAAACTCAAAAAATGACGAAAATGTCTGAAAATAATTTTTTCTAATGGGGTTATTCAGGTAGTCGGCAAAAAAGGAAAAAAAACTCCGCGAAAACTCGGAGAGTGTTCCAATCTGGCTGAAACTTTGGGGAAAACTGGAGAAAACTATAGAAAACATTTTGCAAAAGTTTAAGGTCAAAATATCTACTTTGAAAATATTGTCTGAGAATTCCA